GAGACTTTATATAATGTCTCACTAACCTTAAATCTAACATTAATCTCATGAATTAATATTAATATCACCAATTTGGTTATCATTAACTAAATTCATATATATTTTTCTATTTAGAAAGAATCCAACAGTAGCAAAAATTTTGATACTAAATAAAAATATAAACTGGACAAACAAAAATTATTTATCCTTTTTTATATTTGATTATTTGTATATTTTTAGGGCTATTTTTTTACTTCTACATTCGAAGGTGGAATTTTTCTAATTTGGATAATGGAGAGTATGAGGGAGTTTTGGCAGCTTAATGTCACTTTTACAACAAACTGTTTTAAACCGGCGAAGAAGGTTTCCGAACCAGAAGAATGGCCAGTTTTTGTAACTTATTTGGAGGACATCAAGACACTTAAGAAAAATTTCTCAGCTCAGAGATCATCTATATACCTCGAACGTAGAATTCGCGCGCGGATAGTCTAGCATGTGGTGCCAGAAAATAACCATCCTTTGTCGTTTACATGGATGTGGAACTACCGGTTTGATCTATAGAGTCTATATGAGTTTGTTTGTGTTGATGACAAAAAAAAAAAAAAATCTAAATGGTAATGTATTTGGCGAAATGAAAATAAACTTATTACTACGTCATAATTAGACATGTCAAATTGGATAAACCAACTCAAACCAACCCATATCCATATGAACCATTATTCTTATGGATTATGGATAAACCCAATCCATGTAGTTAATGGTTTGGATAAATCCATAACTCATTTAAATTAGTGGATTAATGGTTTTAATGAGTTGACTCACTATTATATATTATCATTATTATAAATCAATAAAAATAAAAATAAATAACTCATTTAAGTTTTCAAATATAAATATCATTAATACTGTTTGAAATATGATTATGCAAATGTAAAAGTAAAAGTAAAAAATTAAACTGATAAAATTACAAAACATAAAAATAAAACAGAGTATTTTTATTAAACCATTGCTATAATATAAAATCTGTAGAAAATGGAATGGATCAAATGAAACTCCAGTAAACCAAATAAACCTGCAAAACCAAAGATAACACGTTCCTGTTAACTCGTTCCTGTTAAAAAGAGTTGATCATCATAAAATGACCTCTAACCTATCCTTTCAACACATACACACGTATAGATCCAAAGGAAATAACCTATAACCTATCCTTCAACTCATACGCTAAGAGAGTAACATACAAGGACAGTAGGACACGTATAGATCCAGAGGAAATAGTCTCTGTAGTACTTTAACATGGATACTCAACGAGAGAAAGAGGTTACTGATAATCAAGTGAGAAATAGTAACCTTTGATCAGTGTCTCCTTTTGCATCTCTAGCTCCTCTCCGTGGTTGTATGTGTGATGATATCCCTTTGGCTACTTCCAGATTGTTCTTCCACATCGTTTAACCCTGCTCGAATGATAACCGTTTCGCCTTCGCCATTATCTACAAAAAAATAACCGGAACGTAAACATACATCATAAATTAACAGCAAACCTGTCAACAGAATATAACACTTATACCTTCATCATCAAGCATGTAACCATGTATCCAAGAACGTGTACATAACAAAGCCTGGACATTACTAGGCAACAACCTACTCCGATATTTGCTTATAACTTGAGAACCAATACTAAACGAAGATTCAGACGCCACCGTAGTTATAGGAATGCTAAGAACATCCATTGCCATATATGTAAGAGCACCAAAACGAAATCTGTTTTCTTTCCAATACTGCAAGACATTCAAGTTGGGATGACTCCTCATATCTAACTTCGGATCCTCCAAATACATATCCAATGCTGACTTTCCTTCTTCCATATAGTCTGGAACATCATCTAAGTCGAACAGATCCTGTAACATTTAAAGAGAAAAGATCACAGATTATTGAGATTTAAACATAAGTTAAACAACTTGAACTAAGAACTTACATCTTGCACATCCAAATTCCCTCTTCCTCTTTTAGCAACACGAGAATCTACTCTTGTAGTGCTCACAACAGGGGTTAAAGGATATTTCTTCCTATACTCATCAAAAAGCTTAGAAAGCTTATCCTCAAGGTGTTTTATCTTTTGTTTCGAAGTAAACGGATCAAGTTCATCATAACAACGCTTCAACAGTCTAAGCTTCATCCTAGGATCAAAAACAGCACCCATTGCAAGAATAACACTGTATTGTTCCCAGTATTTATCAAACTTCTTTCGCATCTTAAAAATCATCTCTCTAATTATGCTATCTTCATGGCCCCTGTTCACTTCCAACAAGCATTGAATCTTCCAGATATGCCCAAAATATAAATTAGAAGTCGAATAGCTAGTCCCAGACATCAGATTTGTAATACAGTAAAAGGGCATCAAAATCTCATGGATAAACTTTGCTCTCTTCCATTCTTGACTCGATGGACAGTGTTTATAGCTTTTATCAACCACTTTAAATCTATTTAAAGCACGCTCATACTTCAAAGCCTTCTCAAGCATCAAGTACGTTGAATTCCATCGATGCTGAACATCCAAAGACATGACAACTTCATCATCACCTTCTACACAATCGGCGAGTGCAAGCCTTCTAGAAGTTGAAGCTTTAAAATACTTCACAGTATCCCGAATCTTAGACAATGCACTAGTAAGGACATCTAAACCATCTTGTACTATAAGATTTAAGATGTGCGCACAGCACCGCACATGAAAAAATTCTCCTTTGCACAACAGATTATCATCCAAATTCAGCCTATCCTTCAAAATCTCTTGCATACAATCATTAGCAGTAGCATTATCTAATGTCAAAGTGAACACTTTTTTCTCAATCCCCCACTCTTTCAAGCATTCATGAATTTTACTAGCTAAAACATCACCAGTGTGCGGAGGAAGCAAATCACAGAATGACAAAATTTTGCTATGCAATACCCATTTTGCATCAACATAATGTGCAGTTAAAACTATATACCCATCTCCTGAGACTGTAGCAGTCCAACAGTCAGAGGTTAAACATATCCTACTAGGGATATTCTGTAACTCAGACTTCAATTTTTGCTTCTCTTTCTCCCAGGTTTTAACCACGTCAGCTGCAGCAGTGTTCCTCGTATAACACTTATAATCTGGGTTTAAATAACTAAGATAATCCCTAAGTTCTTCATATTCAACAGAAACAAAGGGAAGGTTATGACGGATAATGACCCTACTAAATTTTTCCCTAGCAACTTTATCATCAATCTTCCTCTCTCTTCTCTCACCATCTAATTCATGTGAGCATTTCTCAGCATGACGCTTCAGGTTAGATGTTCCACTAGTTCTAAACCACAAATAGCTTTGTGGGCACTTCTTACAATATGCTCTCTCTTGGCCATTCTCATCTTTTCCTATTGTAAAGTAATCCCATGCAATTGATCTCTTAGCTCTTTTTGAAACAGAAGAACTTACAAGACGAGATTGCGATGCACTTGAAGATTGTCCACCATTAGGTCCACCACCAACACCATTAGGTTCATCATTTTCCATGACTTTTAGATACTGAAATCATGTAACAAAAATCAAGAACTCTGTAACTAATAAAGCACTACGATAGGGATAGCACTACTAACTAATAAAACTTTGTAACAATCAAACTTTGTAACTACGATAACACTAATATAAAGCAGGATATTTATAACTAATAAGTGAACACGGTGTATGAGCTGGCTGACGATCAAGAATCTTATAAACAACAATAATATGTGTGACTTTATACGTAGTCTAAAGTAAGTTTGTTAAAGACTGCATATTTTATTTAAAAAAACCTATAGAGCACTTTATGCATCAGAGACAGAGACATTCTGAGATATGGAGTTAAAAAGACATTCTTATTCACATATTTTATGCATATCTCAGATGGAGCATGAATGGTCCACATATTCACATCGTCCTTTTACTTAAAGACTCATATCGACCTTTGCTTACTTTCATATGTTGATTAACTCCAAAACAGATATGAGTCAGAATGTCTAAGAAAACTTTTATAAATATATCTAACTAAGAGCACTCTTGTAGTTATACTAAACCGATAAGAGAGCTGAGCTATGAAGAGAATATAAAAACCCAAATCAAAGCAAACAACTATGATCCAAATCAAACCAAATCTCCGTACTGATCAAACGATGAGAACCCATAATTGAACTTAGAGTCAAAGAATCAAAGAGAAACACTGATACACAATCAAAGAGATACACAACACAATCAAAGAGAAATTCCAGAATCAAGAGCTTAGGGATGATAAATTAAATGGGTGATGTTAAAATTTCCTACTAAATTCAACAGAGTTGACTCACTATTAGGTAAGGTCCGTAAGGATGATACCTAACCCTCGTCGAAGAATCGTCGACGAGATCCACAAGCAACAATCGTCGAAGAATCGAGAAGAGATCGTGAAGATTTTGAGATTTTGAGATTTTGAGATCGTCGAAGATTTTGAGATTTTGAGGTTTAATCGTGAAGATTTTTTTTTTTTTTATATTAGATTGAATTGGTTTGGATTGGGTTGACCATTAACCCATTTTGGTACAAAACCAAATTAATCCAACTTATTAAATCCACTAAACCATTAAATCCATTTATCCATTAGCAACCAAATTTATGGTTCATTAAGATCCATGGATTGGATTGGTTTGGACTGATCCATTAGTTTGAGCCCATTTTGACATGTCTAGTCATAATCTATGTTTCATAGTCATCCATCTAACTAATCGGTTCGCTAAAAGCAATACTAATGTAAGGAAAAAGATAAGAAAAAGAAATGCTTTTAAAAAAAATTAAAGTGTGACATAACCAAATGCAAAAAAGTAAAGGATGCTGCATCCTTCAGTGCTGCAACCTGTTTTATCCCTCCGCTCCCGAATTTATCATCACTCATCTCCGACAACGTCACCTCCACTCCACTATCTCTTCCCTTTCACCTCGCCTGGGAAAATATTCCGATCCCTTTCAAGCTCACGGAATATTCCCATTCGCAATGGAAAATGACGTCAAGGTGGAGGAGAAAGTGGAGGAAGCTCACCGCCTTCTTCCTCCCCAGTCTCTTCCCTCGAATTCCGACGACGAAGAATCCGAATTCGAATCCGAGGCCGCCTTCGAATCCGGAGATAAGATCGTGATCGTCGATTTCGAATCCGCCGACGACGATTCCGCCGCACCACCTCCTTTCTCGTGGCGGAAACTATGGCTGTTCACAGGTCCAGGTTTCCTTATGAGCATAGCGTTCTTAGATCCGGGGAACCTAGAAGGAGATCTGCAAGCTGGTGCCATCGCTGGCTATTCTCTGCTCTGGCTCTTGATGTGGGCCACAGCCATGGGGTTGCTGATCCAGATGCTCTCCGCTAGAGTCGGTGTCGCCACCGGTAGACATCTTGCTGAGCTGTGCCGCGACGAGTATCCCACTTGGGCGAGGTATGTGCTTTGGTCTATGGCGGAGATTGCTCTCATCGGAGCTGATATTCAAGAGGTTATCGGCAGTGCTATTGCCATTCAGATTCTTAGCCGTGGCGTCTTGCCGCTTTGGGCTGGTGTTGTCATTACGGCCTCGGATTGGTGAGTCTCTGAATCTGTACCTATTCAATCTGAAACTCACAAATTCGTTTAAAAACAAAGTTCGTTTAAAGATCTGTGATTTAATTTGAAATCATGAACTATTATTGCTTTTACTTTGGCTATTTTGTTTCTTGAAAACGTGGGGCTAATGAATTGTATGCAAACAGTTTTTTATTTTTGTTTCTAGAGAATTATGGTGTGAGGAAGTTAGAAGCTGTGTTTGCAGTTTTGATTGCAACTATGGGTTTGTCTTTTGCTTGGATGTTTGGTGAAACCAAGCCTAGTGGAAAAGAACTTATGATAGGTAACAAAAACAAGATCATTTTACTTCTCTCTGATTTTTTTGGCTTTGATTGCTAAAATGATAAGATCTTTGTAGGTATTTTACTCCCAAGACTTAGCTCAAAGACAATTAGGCAAGCTGTAGGTGTTGTTGGATGTGTCATAATGCCTCACAACGTGTTTTTGCATTCGGCTCTTGTACAGTCGCGGAAAATAGACCCAAAGAGGAAATCAAGGGTTCAAGAGGCGCTGAACTACTATTTGATCGAGTCTTCTGTTGCACTTTTCATCTCTTTCATGATTAACTTGTTTGTGACTACTGTCTTTGCAAAAGGTTTTTACGGAACCGAGAAAGCTAATAACATTGGGTTAGTTAATGCTGGCCAGTATCTTCAAGAGAAGTTTGGAGGTGGGCTTCTTCCTATTCTATATATCTGGGGAATTGGATTGTTAGCAGCCGGACAGAGCAGTACGATAACTGGTACATATGCTGGACAGTTTATAATGGGAGGGTTTCTGAACCTCCGGCTTAAGAAATGGATGAGGGCAGTGATAACGAGAAGCTGTGCTATTGTGCCGACCATGATTGTAGCAATCGTATTCAACACTTCTGAAGCTTCCTTGGATGTTTTGAATGAATGGCTTAATGTGCTTCAGTCTGTACAGATTCCTTTCGCTCTTCTCCCTCTTCTAACGTTGGTATCCAAAGAAGAAGTTATGGGAGACTTCAAGATTGGCCCTGTTCTCCAGGTTAACTTTCAACTTCTTTTATAGTTGCCTCGAGTTTGTGTTATTAAATGGAATAGAGAAGCATTGTGTCATGAAGTTAAGGGTTTGTGAATTGATTAGAGTTATTGATTTATCTTGCAGAGAATAGCATGGACAGTGGCTGCACTTGTAATGATCATCAATGGGTATCTTCTGTTGGATTTCTTTGTATCAGAAGTTGATGGGTTTATGTTTGGAGTTACGGTCTGCGTCTGGACAACCGCCTATGTTGCCTTTATAGTTTATCTCATTTCTCACAGCAATTTTCTTCCTTCTCCTTGGTCTTCTTCCTCTTCCATAGAACTTCCCAAAAGAGTGACAGTCTCTGATAGTTAGCGGCACAAAAATAACTGCTCTGCTCTCTGGCCATTTGTTACAGTTTGAAGATACGGTAAACAAACTTCATCCTCTCTATACATATCGATATGCCAAAGTGGTGTGAAAGATTTATTTAGCATAGCTTTTGCCAATGTGACAACACACCCCTCTTTGTTGTACCTTTTTGTTTTTGTTTTAAGAGGATGTAGTGCAAGTAAAGTGATACTCCAATATGATTTTAAAGAGGCTTTTACATTGATAACATCACAAAAAGCAGAAAACAAATCAATCAAAGCTCATAGCCATTGAAATGAATGGCCAAGCAAAATGAAAATTTATATTTAAAAAAATATCTTCTGATACTAAGCTGGTAACTCTAATGACAGTTATATACAAACAGATAAAGCTTCAATCTCATTTAAGCCTTTTCTCTGATTGTAACATCTTCAAAGAAAGCAGGAGGCAACTCAGGTGAAACAGGCATGGTCGCAACACACTTGAACTGTATACCAAGAGAATCAGATATTAACCATCTAGAAATGTTGTTGTAACATATCATTAAGTCAATGTAACGTTGATTGATACCTTTTGCTGCTTGTATTTATTTCTAACAGCCTCTAGACTGTTTCCTCTTCTGCTTAGATACAAGTCATGTATGATTCCAACAGCTTGTTGTAGATCAGACGCTTTGTACTTGGTGTACTCTTCTAATATTTGGTTCTATTTTACATCACCAAAAGAGATTTAGATTAGAATGGCACAAACTTTCTGTAAAAAGTAAAAGTCACAGCTCTTTTAATTGCTTACCCAAGGATGTTGTTTTGGACGGATGATGAATCGTGCAAGAAATACAGCAGAAGCAGCCAAAAGAGACGGCAAAAATCTAATACAGCTATAATCCAACAGACTCAATTCTGAGAGATAGCAACAGAGAAACTCTATTTGCAACAGTGAATCCTGCAAAGAGGACGTGAAAAAACACCAAGAGTTAACAACTGATACTGTGTAAGTTGCAAATGCTCATGGGTTTGAGCTTACATTGAAATCCTCTTGAGCAACCCTTGTGAACCGTCTGCACAAACCCACCATAGAAAAGGGTAGAAAAACAATCAAAATGTGGACAAGTAACAACCTTTAAGTACAAACACCAAACTGTTTCATCACAATCTTACCTTAAGAATGTTTTGATGGTTGGACATCCTAATTCAAACTGTAGAGCAAGAAGTATATCTGCCTCCATGGACACCACGTCTTGTCTGGTAAACGTATTATCAGTGATGTACACAAAATCTTCCACTTTAGGAGGACTTATCTCTTCGTATTTCCTACTTTTATCCAAAGTAAAACATTCCTTAAGCATAAGAAGCTTCATACAGAACAGATATAGAGGGTTAAGATGCTTACGATGCAATAAGCATTGCAGAAACACCCACAAGCTGAAGCCTCTGCCTGTTAATAGGCTTAGCGGACAAGAATCTATCGACGTAAGAGACAGTGAGATAGAGTGTGTCTGAAACAAGTTTGTATTCCTCAGCAACTTCCACTAACCAGTCCATCAAAACCCCTCTCATGTTAGGAGTCAAATCACTCTGAACCTTTTCAATGTAATCATGTAAAGGTCTTTGCTTCAGCTTCCCCTGAATCTCACCAAATCCAAACAAACAGTTAAACCAAATCACATAATCATAAGATCAAATCCACATTGCAACTAGCCAATCAATGTTACTTGTTTTTACCTCCATTTCGCGCAGATACGCACAGATGTCAGCGACATAAGGACCACACATCTGAGGATCGACAGATCTGGATTCGAAATCTACGGTCTGTGGAAGAACCGGTACAGGAGGTATCGGAGCATTCTTCGTCTGCTTCTTCGGAGCGATTAGAGTTGATTTAGGCTTCTGGGTCTCTCTGGGTATGAGTGGAGCAGCGACATTGGAGATATTCGGAAGCTCTCCGAGAACAACTCTCTTCTTCTTGCTAACTGGGTTTTCGTCCGCCGTGGACCCCTTTCGTTTCGCCGCCGCCCTAGTCATCCTCGTGGAGTTCTGATTCTCCGCCATGGGTTCTGAGCGAGAGGAGGATTGGATTGAATATAGAAATGTAAAAGGAGCGCCAATTTTTTTTTGTTGTGAGTGGGTTTTTCGGTATGTTTTCTTTTCAGGTCAATGGCGCTTCTCTCTTTGAGCATAACGAAACTTTTAGGGGTTTGACCATCCAAAATTTTGGGCTTCGTAGATTATCCCCCATTTTGTTTGGCGGCTTTTACCCTTCTAACCTATTTATTATTGCTAAAAAATCTATCGATACTATTAAAACACAAGGCCTTTTTTTCAGGTGCCCTTGATTTTCAATATTAATTATAACCAAATGCCACTACATTTTCTTTTAATCTATGCTTTATATCAAAGTGGGTTAACCCGATTAAAGTGGTTTTGACCCGATTCTGTTTTAACAGTATTTATAGATCTCTACCAACATAATCTTTTATTTAAATAGGAGAATATTAATCATATCTATATTTTTTTATTGAACCATTTCCTAATGTATGCTAACCACGCCATTATGATTCGTTCGACTTGGTCCATATTTATCAAACTATAAGTCACACATAGTCTACTATGAACACATGATAACTGATAGTGCTCATATTATATCATACTGGAAAGTTTTCTTTAATATAAATCCACGATCTTGGATTATTGTACCATTTTGTGGCATGCAGCGTAATTGGTTTAATTTTTTTATGAAGTTAATTTCGTAATTGAAACAATCTATCAAACCGTTTTAGCATGGTTTGTTAAAACGTTTCCAATGGATTATAATATCAAATTGGTAGCACACAGAGTAATTGGTTTAATCTTTCTATGATTAAGATTAATTTCCTTTGCAATAATCTATCAAACCGGTTCTAGCATAAGAACGCAAACCAAAGTATTTTTTTAAATAACAATATTTTCAAATATATGAACTACAGTAGATTTTTTTTTTGAAAAAATGTGGGTATCCTATCCTAACTAGAAAATATTTTAGTTACTAAATTTTGCAGCCTCTTTTAATTCAAAATGCTAAAAATACAAACAAACAAACTTTATTTTTATGTGTAATAAGTTTGGATATATTGAAAAAAATATTCGTGAGATAATTTATTACAAATATAATTCTGAAAATTATTAAATTTTAATGATACAAAGAATAACATGCATAGTAAAAATAAATTAGAGATATAATTAATGAAATTTATATAGTATTTTCTGCAAACTACGAAGATTTAAAAAATAAAATTAAAAGATATTTTCTATTTAAATACTAAACTAATTAAAAATATTAAATTTTTGAACAACTATTAACAAAATATGTAATATATTTAAAAATAAATATAAGCAATATATATTAATAATAGTGAACAAAAAAATCTAACACAAAGAGAAAAAAACATCTGTGCGGACGCACGAGTCAAAATCTATTTCTTTTTATTTATACAACATAATTTTTATTTTTATTTTAAAAACAACTACATTAAATTAACTGTGGCTTCCTATCTCAACATAATGTATCATTATGTTGAATCTTCGATTAGTATAACACACTGATTCTCATTTTTTAGACTNTATCCTTTTAAAATTTTCGATTTGTTTTATATATTTTTAAGCATATAAACTAATCAAGACAATAAACTTATACATATAGAAATACAGATGCTTAGAATCCTCAACGGTTTAACCAATATTAATATAGTCGACCAAATTATAGGATTTTCAAAGGTTTTTCAAAATAAACAACAAAAAAATCTAAACCACTAAATCAAAAACTAAAGATTTGGCAAATAAATAACTTAATTATTATTAAAAACAATACTTTTTTAGTATCTTTATGTTTTTCATATATTTACAACATCATATTCTTTAAAAACAGTCTATTGTCGTTTCTATTATAAACTAATAAATAAATTAATAGTTTTATTAACAAAAGACAATCCCGCGCTTCAAAGTATGGATCAAATAATCAATACTATTAAAATACAAGGTTGTTTTTAAATGTCTTTTTTATTTCAATAATATTTACAAGATTCTGCAACTAAAATATTTTTAATCTATGATTTTATTAAATTTTGTATTTTTCTAATTTTCTTTTAAATGCAACAGCAAGGCAACATTTTTATTCCTCAAATATCATCGACGCATTTAAATCCTCCAAGTTTGGACTAAATAATCCGATAACTAAATCAAAACAAAAAAAAAAACCTAATTTATTTTTATTTTCTAATTTAAATGCAACAAATCGATCCAAATGATATCTTTTGGTTATCGGAATGTTTAGTCCAACTTATAATTTCTCACGTTACGCATTTTAGTAGATAAAAAAATAAAAAATACATTTAATCAAAATTTACAAAACCCATTTTAAATTGCAGGAAAAACTATTATGTGTAAACATTATTATCATTATATATTAAATCAAATCATGAAAATTTGATAAAAACAGATATATATTTTTTAATATTCTTATGAGTATAATTTAATGGGTTATTCCAACACTTTAATTAGGCTTGGGAGTTCAGGTATCCGTTGAGATACGGGTTGGATACTTTGAATTCTGGTCCTAATTTATATCACATCATAGATCTCATATTGGTAAATTTGTAAATACAGACGAGTTTGGATATAATTTATCTGTTGTGGTTCTAATTTGTATCACATCTTAAAACCCATAAGTAACGATATATCGTTCGTATTTAGATTGTATTGGTTCGGTTCATATATCTGAAGTTAAATCCAAAATTAAAAGCAAAGCATAAGAAATAAATACTTATCTATATTGAATTAGATATTTAAGGTATTTATTTCAAATTTAAATTTTTTTATGATATTTTTTCAAATAAATATAAAACTGAATATTTGAAGCACATATTTATGTTTTAAATATTTATAGTTGTGATTAATTTGGATTTTCGAATCGGTTTTTTGGGTTTTCAATTTTTTTCAAGCTATACGTTTAGGTTTAGCTAATAACGCTTCAGATCCGGATATGTTTTGTACTATTCTACAAAATTCATTCTGATATTTCTTACCTTTGGACCGGATACCGATTGTTTTTTTTTTGTTTGGGTTCAGTTTGGGCTTCAAGTTCATATTTTATATTTATACCTAGATTTTGTTCCGCGCTTTTAAAGTGCGAGATTTTTTTTTTTGTTGATAAATTCATTAATCTGTTTGTTTGCTCACTAATATGTTTAGGCAATTCAGTTTTTGATTCATTTCATGTTTTTTTGTTTGATTCTGGTTCAGTTGTGTATTCGTTTTTTTTTGTTCAAAACCTATAAAAACCATTTGGTTATTTATGAATATGGATACCTTTTGATTTGATTATTTTAGTTTTTGATTTAGTTCAAATAACAATATTCGAATCTGATAAAATTTTGAGTTCACCTTGGTTTCCATAAGTTTTTACATCCAACCAGATCCGTGGTTGGATTTGCAATTTCGGTGATCCGCTAAATTATCCGTTATGAGTANATTTTAGTTTTTGATTTAGTTCAAATAACAATATTCGAATCTGATAAAATTTTGAGTTCACCTTGGTTTCCATAAGTTTTTACATCCAACCAGATCCGTGGTTGGATTTGCAATTTCGGTGATCCGCTAAATTATCCGTTATGAGTATGAAGAAATATTCACTAATTAAAAACCACTAAAAAACCCTAAACCCACCAACATTAAGTTACTGTAGTTTTAGTAAACAACACCAACCGGTTTTTACTCAATGATCTTACAAAATAAGCACAAACATAAACTTGGGAAACCGAGGATCTTCAGTTATACCATTTAACTTGGACCACAATATTTCGGCGACATATTACATCCTAGCGGGCATAGATTTATGAAATTCGCAAATCACAAATACTTATGTTTACGGAATTTAAGGAAAGAATTTAATCTATATATGTCGGATTAAACCATAAATATTATTGACCATCTATCCGAGCCCGGATACTCATGCCTTTACATACTTGTGAATAATCTAACAAAGGCAATAATTTAAAGCAAAAATGGTTGTCCCGTCCTTTATAAGGACGGGTCAAAATCTAGTTTATTATTATATTCAATTTAATTTAATTTTTAAATTTTATATTTGACTATTATTATGTCTTCTTATTTCCACCTCATTAAATATAAATAGAGTATCTATAGTACATTCTATTAATTTATTACAAGAATCTTATATGCGCTTAGAAATCACAGAATTAATTTCACAATTTTAAATGAAAATATATATATAAATATAAGATTTTGATTTTGATATAAGGTTAACTGATGTTCCAGGTTTTAAAAGTAGAATAAACTCAATTTATTAATTTATATAATTAATTTTGATATCTATGAAATACTATGTTTTCACGTTGAAAGTTAAAGCGGTTAAAGTCAATAATATCGTATATATATTTTTTACAATATAATTAAAAATTAATTTTATATTAATAATATTAGATTTATATGTTATCTTGATTTTTGCATTTGAACTCTCACGTAGAAAGTTAAAGTGGTTTAAGTCGATGATACCCTTATTGAAATATATATATATATATATATATATATATATATAATTTATGATAATTAATACAAAATTTATATTAATGTTACTAGATTTTATAAATTTATATAACAAAATAAAATATAAAAAATATATTTAAAAAAAAAAGATAATTCTTCTACATATATTGTGTTGTTATCTGTAAATAATATTATAACAACATGATAATTTTTATTATATTGTGTTTTACATATAACTGATTTTTTTTGCTTCTGAAAATAATAGTCTTCTATTATAAAGGTAAAAAAGGTATAAAACAATTTATAATTAAATATTAATCAAAAAAAAAAATATTTGTATAAAGATATTTTTAAAACTATTTCTAATATATGTGTAATTTAAAAATATTAACACTACAATAAACATATATACTTTGATGAAAAAAATTGTCAATTATAAATAATTGGTTTAATATTGTTTGTGAACATGATAATAATTTGTTACGCTGCTTTTTGAAATAATAAGACATATAGTAATAAATACTTATAAAAAAAAATTAGGGGGTTTTGCAAAACCAACATAAAAATTCATGCCAAACACAAAACCAACCTCTTTTTTTTGTCATTACTATTCACCATTAAAAAGATCAAACCCTCCTCATGTTTTT